GACCAAATTTAAATGGGACCACCCGTGAGGCATGCCCTTTCTAACAAAAATGAATCATAGAAATCGGACAACATATTAGCCCAGTATAAAGAATAATACAGTAGCGACAGATCATTTTTTGAGGTGTCCATATTTTTCTGCGCATGTCCGAAAATAAGCGACAAAAACGTCAACGTCAATAGTGTCAATGCGATGTAAATATGACATTATTTTTGTTTGTTTGCAGTGCATATTTTGAGACATTTTTATTATTTTAGTTTTTCATTTATTGTGTGATATTTTTGAAATGGCTTCTGCACCTGATCAGAAAAAAAAGAGATGTGTCTATCGCCCTTGTCCATCTCAAACAGAGTAAACAGACAAAGGGACAAGTTATTTTGCATTTCCCATGGAGCCATAAAGGTATGTCTTGAGAAAATACTTTCAATTTTTATATTTGAAAACCAAATATTTATTTGACAACCAAATATTTATTATTTAAATGTCTTGAGGACAATTTTTACAATTTCAACAAAAATAATGTAAAAAATATATAATTTCTGAACTACCGTCAATCTAAACATTTGTTATCAACTTTTTTATATTTTAGGGCCAACATGTGGTTAAGAGCTTGTAATAGGGAAGATTTGAGTAACATAGATGTGAACAGTCTTCATCGGAATTACAGGGTGTGTGAGAAACATTTTGAGAAGAATTTTTTTTCTAAAACGTTGAACCGTAAACGTTTATTGCCTACTGCTGTTCCCACATTTTTTATCCATCTAGGTCATCAGCCAAATGTCTATCTTCTCCCTAGTACATCGACCAAGTGCTTCCTCTGTTGAGACTATCATTGAACATGAACGAGACATTTTAGAAAGCGTACCATGTGCAACCTTTGGACATTCTTAATCAAAAATCCTACCTCCAAATTATTATAATGAATTAGATGTTCTTTGATTCACTATGTCCATTGATTAAAAATGTTCTGATTGACTACATCTAATCAAAATATATATGTATTTCTTGTAAAGTAGCAAAAAGAAAACAAAAAAATGTATTTTGTGGTGTTATTATTTTAACTGTTTTTTAATTTTTGATTTGTTTCATTTATACAATATTTAAGCACTTAAACAATAATATATATAATCTTATAAACAGTTGTATGATATATACGTTAGGGAAATTAGGACAAGGATGATTAAATTCTATTTCTTTCATAATATCAAAAAAAGCTATGGGATATACCAGACATTACACAGGTATTGCTAAAAATAGATATAACATTTTTTTATAATTTAAATATATAGATAATAAACTTTTCATTTGGAGTTTTTAGGCCTCCATAAGTGCTTTATTTGCAATCATATGTTAAAATCTGTGAACTATCCAAATCTTCACATTCTTTTGAAAATTTAATAAATGTATCACATCCATGTATGCCTAAAGCTTTTTTGATCAAATAGCCACAAACATATTTAAATGGATTTTGAACTATTATATCTTGTCCTGTAGCTGTAATTAGGAAGAAAAACAGCTTCTTGAGTGTTTTTATTTATTTCAGGATACAGAGAGACAATATTTTTTACATCTAATTGTAGCAAGTGCTTGTCCAGGTTTTCATTACAATTCATGGAATTGCAATGAAGATAATTTTGACAAAAACGTTTTTTAAATGCCCTTTCGAATTGTACAGGTGTTGGATTAATTAAATTCCCACCCTGTTGCCTAATGGACCCAACAAATTTTTCTAGACAGTCACTGTTGATTCTTCTAGCCATTAAATATTTAAATCCCGCAGCAGATAACCATTCCCATACAAATTTTAAACCATAAAATCGTTAAATATAAACATCTAATTTTTATGATGTGACGTTAATAGTATTTAATTATATACATAGGTAATATAAGCAATTGGGCAGCATTTTGCTTAACGGGTGACTTACAACAGGCATTTGCTAAAACTCATCTGAAGTCAAAAATTTGTACGTAGGAACAAAAATTGAAATAAAATAATTCTTGTATTGTAAATTCATTAAAAACTTACTAATTTGTAATTGTGTGTTTTAATAAATATTATTGTTATATGTTGTTTCACTTCTAAAAAGATACCTACATAACCTCATTTTAAATAAAAAAATAAGGTGCTGAGTTAATTTATTAGTTCCAGGAAGAAACCAAAAACTGTTTGACACATTTCATACAATGAATGGCATACAAAAGTAATTTATTTTATTCTAATGATAAAATTTTAAAATTGGCACATCTAGATTTTCACCGGAACTCATTTATTTAAGTTACACAATATTTTAATTAATTTATTTGCCTAGAATACATTAAAATGTTATATGTACATGTTTTAATTTTTTTCTAATTGTGCATCGCTAATTTGCAATTTTAGAGTTTACTTTTCTCCGTGTAGAAATAAGCGACAAAAACGTCAACTGTCATTGAAAATCTGACCACCCCGACATCAAAGAAGCCGACGCAATCTGTCGCTACTGTATTGTTCTTTATACTGGGATATTAGTAAAGAATTATCGCTGAATATACATAAAAAATTCCGACGATTTTAGAATCTCCTTTGTTAGAACCTCTATAAAATGCCTAACTAATATTTTAAGTTGGTACTGTACAATAACATATGACAGTTGACATTTTTTTTATTCTGTGTAAAGCCCACTAATTCAAAAGTATGTAAATCCTGATTTATTTAAATAATTCTGAGTGGATATTTAATCTGTGGGACTTTATTATTAACGCTCGGCCAAGTTTATTACATTTTAGAAGTGGGATCTGAATGCTATCACGTATTTTCGTAGATATTCGACAAAAAATACGGCGTGTCGGTTCGGTAAAACTTTCAAACTATTAATAAAAATAAAGGTGAATGAACGTTAAAAATTGGACCTGTGTGCTGTAACTATTAAACTCGTGTGAATTGTTTAATGAGGAAAACTTACAAGGTAGGATTAACCATTTAGATATTTATATTCCAAATATGATGGATATGTTTATTTCCGAAAATCGCAGACCAGACGCGATGAAATGTTTATGTCAGTTTTAGAATTCCTAACTCCTAATTCAAATAATCATCAATGCATCAGCTGTTTCTTCAACCTCTCATCATACACATCATGTTATACCAGATTTATCACGTATAATAGAATAGGGTATTTTGACAGTGATAAAGATTTGTATAAAACCGAACAATGGATAAACAGTTTAGAAAATAGTTGACGATTAAATCAGTGGTCAGATAATTACTTACTTGAAACTGCTAGGGGTTATTTAGAGGGACCAGCTACAAACTGGTTTGATTTAAAACGCAAAATAATTTTAACTTCTAATTATTTTAAAAAAAGTCAAATATTTTGCCAATTTATATTTTTATTTGATTTTACTTCATTACATTTTTGCATTAATTTCAAACTTGAAATAAAATGCAATTTATTTTATTTTTTTTATTAAAGTAAATTAACGCCGCATCATATAATTTGTCTATTTAAACATGGAAATACTCAAACAAATATGCATTTACACCATTTAAATATATATAAAACAAACCTATCAAAAATGTTTTCTGTAACAAAATCAGCATATATAAGTGCTCAAAACATTTATAAAAGTTTTGTGAGGGAGTGGCAAATCAAGTTTGAAAAAATTGAAGTTGAAGCATCATCCTTTTTTACTATCGAGGCAAATTTGAGTGTGGATAAAATTCGCCAAACTGTTATTGACTAGTTAGGTTGAGGAGCATTTCATCATCCGATAATTGTTTTTTTTTTATTTATTTATACAGCACTTGTAGTTATCAAATTTTTATTCATCATCTGGGCACTGTGATAAATGAATTTAACTTTTGAGCTTAAATTAAACTTACACACGTTAGGACCCTTGAAGATTTTAAAGTGTTTTCTTGCTTAATGTCAATGGCATTGAATCAATTTTTGATATTGATGGCTGAGGCTCAAATATTTCATCGATCGACAGGGTATTTTGAAGGGCCAACATTTTCTTTACAACAATGATCATTTTAAAACTGAAAACAAAAAGAAATTTAAATAACAAACCAATTATTTTAACACTGAGTCAAAAACAAGTTGGTAAATATTACTTACCTTTGATGCCAAACAGTGATGGTGCATTTTTCTTAAGACACTTATTACAAATTATTTGGTTATCCTTAATATGACGACTGAATATAATGGCGGTTATGATTGACAACCTGTGTTATTTTTACAAACACACAGAAATTACAACTTGTTCACAAATAACATGTCTGTTAAAAATAACATTATTTGTAGATCATAACCCCGTTAATACCAATATCTGGGAGTGCTTTTTTGTTTTTTGCTGAAATCCATCTTCCCATCTTTTGAAAACATGCTTAAAATTGGAAGGTGTTGAAAAATAAATCTAGATTCTAGATGAATCAAAATTCAATACACCTTCAAATGCAATAGCCATTTTAATTTCTCTAAGTTTTCAGTTTTGACGAGCTGACATCTGATATGACATTTCGATACGAGCGCCATCCCGTTAATTGGAGTGGTACTAAATTACCTTCCTCATGTTTTTCCATTTGAGTTACCAGCCCCTGGTAGGTACTGTACAATGACATATGACAGTTGATATTTTTTTTATTCATTGTTCTGTATGAAGCCCACTCTGTTGCTAATATAATAAAACTAATTCAAAAGTAAATCCTGATTTATTTAAATAATCCTGAGTGGATATTTAATCTGTGGGACTTTATTAATTATCAACCCTCGGCCAAGTTTATTACATCTCCTTCTTTGAAGTTGGTTAAAAAAGCATGCCATCCCTGTGACAGATATGCACAACATAGTCACAAGTTGACTCCGTTTCTGAGTACGTAATTTTATTGAACAACAAAACTTTAAAACGTTTTTTGAATAACTTGAAAAATAACTTTTCAATCAAGTAAGTCTTACATGTGAACCTAATTAAAAATAATACATTTATGTTGAAACGAAAATATTCAATTAATAGATTCATTATTTCCTCTTCCAAGGCACCCAAGAACCTGGACCCGCTTTAGTGCAAGGTGAGAAACTTACAGTCTTCTTTATACGGCGTTTAGACGATACTGCCAGCTGGTATGGCGGTGTATAAGGCGTTACGTTTTGATAAGGTGAATTTTGAGTTTTGTTTTCACCCTTTTGATGCACCATTGATTGATCTAAGGTTGGATCTACTCGTTGATATGGCGAATAGGGTGGATATCGGTGATAATTATCCGGCATCTGATAAACCCTCTGATCGTATCCATATTTATAATGATTTTGTAGATTGTAATAAGGTGAGTTTTGATGATCTGGTTGGTATTTTGTGGTACTGTGATTAGTTTCCCTCATTTGAGATGATCTTGGAGAATCTGAGTATTGGGGATTCTTGTTATTATAGTAATGTTGTTGATGGGATGTATGCTTGGGATGATGCGAGTTTTGATTGCGATTACCAGCATAATTATCTTCATAATAATTAGTATGCTGATAACCATTGGACATTTCAGAAGAATGAGCAGGTTATTGTGAACATGGCACTGAGAATTTTGAGTATGAAACTTTTTATTGACATACAGATGTGTCTCTTTTGTACGTGAATTGACATAGATAATTGACACAGATAAGAAAGCCCAGTGGCGTTCTTTTTTTAAAACTTAATACCTTGCATAATAATTTTTTTTTATGGCTTTGGTAGTGTTTATTTACCAAATTAGCCAGTCACAGTTTGTGAATTGGTTTTATATTTTCATTAATGGGTGTTCTGTGCAGGCTTTGTTTTGTTTCCTAAAGCCACTTCAGGAACCGCATTAAAATCACAATTTAGGTATTAACAGAATTTTCAAGGCTTTTAGAACATTAACTTACAGATCCCCATTATAAATTAACTGGAAAATGAAGAAATCCCTTGTTAGCACATATGATGCTCAGGTAAGAATATAAATAATAATAAATAAATAGTGTTAATTTAATTATACACGAATTTTCTTAGGTCAACACTTGTATGATTGACATGCGCCCAAAAATTAAACGTTCTGTGAATCCCAACTTGTTAACAGATCGACCGATCTTGTCATTTCTATTATTTGTAACAGCATAATTTATTACGAGTAGGAAACAAAAATCGTTTGAACTTCAAATGTAGTATATTTTCTGTTTGCTGTTAGTTTAAAGAGATTATTTTAATTAGGTATAGCTCTCATGTATATAATTATTTTCATTAAATTTAGTTTAAAACTTCTCATGTTTTGATCTATGTAATGTTAAGCATCACATAGTTGCTATTTTAAAGGAGAAGCAATTAAACTTTTGGTATATTGGGGTATAGTGCTTTACTTAAGCATCCGTCCACATATTATTTGCCATATTATTTTAACTATAAGGAGGAGAGATGCGTCCCTTTGTCACATCATAGATACTTTAACAGATTTGTGGTGGTCTTAAGTCAAATTGGGCATTTTCGACTTACGCCCCTATAGTATAAATTATATGTATTGTTTTAATTTATAATTGTCAGTTACCAATTTAGTTGTCAATTTGTACGCTCTATTTTTGTGGAATAAAGCCATTTATTCTGGGTTTTCACTACAATTTATTCCACAATTAATATTAGTACAATGGACGGCATCGGAAAATATCTAAGACCAGCTCGATTCGAAATTGATCCTACCTCCCGTTCTGCTGCCGATGAGTGGATTTATTGGAGAAGCACATTCAATAGTTTTCTTGAATCTCATGGAGAAGATGAAGAAGTTTCAGCAGCTGTGAAACTAAAAATATTGATAAACCATGTTAGTTCCGGTCTTTATAAGCTAATTAAAGAGTGTCAGACATTAGAGGAAGCTCTAAAACGTTTGGATGATATACCGGGTGTTCAAATTAAAGTGTTACAGTTAAATACCGCCAAAAATATACCTTTTAGAAAAAAAAAGTTTCAGACAAAAGTTTTATAGTTTTTTGAGGGAAACATTTTGGCTAAATTCATTTTTTTATAGCTGACCATAATATGGCCATATCGAGGTGGACTTTGTTTTTTTAAATGGGAATCCCATTTTTTTTACTTATTCTTAAAGTACATAAAAAAATAAGAAACTTTTGATAGAAATATTTTTTTTATTGGACTTTTATTTTTTGAGTAACAGCTATTTGAAAATTTTGCTGGGCGAAAAAAAAGTTGGCCATATTATGGTTAGCTACAAAAAACGATTTTAGCTAAAATTTTTTCTACACAAAACTAAAACTTTCGTCTGAAACGTTTTTTTTTTTTATAAAAGGCGGTATTTAGCTGTAACACTTTAATTTGAACACCCGATATATGTTAAACCCAAAAATCAAATATATGCGCGACACTTACTTGCTACTCGCCGACAACAACTAAATGAGTCTATAAGTCAATATTTACGGATCTTGGAAGATTTTTCAATAGATTGCGAATTTAAAGCTCTAACTGCAGAACAAAATAAGAAAGATTATATTAGAGATGTTTTTATAGCAGGTTTGTCTTCCAATTTTATTCGACAAAGATTATTAGAAGAAATTACAATGGATTTGGATATGGCCTTTAATAAAGCATTGTCACTAGAAAATGCCCAACACCAATCTGCTAGTTTTTCTCCATCAAACTCGTTAGTAAACGCTTTTGATTCTAATCTTGACTTAATTAATAACATTTCTTCTATAGACTCAGAAAATATTGTCGCAGCTTCCAAATTTAATAATTTTAAATGTTTTTTTTTTGTGGGGGTCCTAAACACCAACGGCAAGAATGTCCTGCCTCAAATGTTATTTGTAGAAATTGTCAGAAACGTGGTCACTTTTCTAAAGTATGCAGAGGAAAAACTATTACTGGTAAAACTACTGCGTCAGCAACTACTGCAGTAACTGATATCTTGGCTCACATAGTATCTATACTGCGTCGAATTGCGGTTTAGAAAAAGCTATCATTCCAGCAAAGATAAACAACCAACAGGCTAAGTGTTTAATATATACTGGAAGCACATCTAGTTTTATCAATCTTCTATTGGTTAAACAATGTAAAATTCCGATAATGTCTTTAGATGAAAAAGTTAACATAGCTTCTATATCATTACCTTCGCAAGTTGAAGGAAGTTGTAATGTATCTATAGAAATATTAGGTTATATCTACAAGGACATTAAGTTATTAATTATTAGGTACCTGTGTGTAGACGTCATAATTGGTCATGATATCCTCAAAAATCATTAGTCACTCGAAATATCCTTTGGAGGATCCATAAACCCCCTCAAAATAGGCAGTGTAGCGCAAGCAATTGTTCCACCAGCTCACCTATTTAATAAGCTCTCTCCGGATTGTAGACCAATTGCCATAAAATCAATTAAACATTATCCGGAAGATTTACAATTTATTAGTGATGAAGTGAACAATCTTCTTCTTGAAGGTGTAATCGAAGAGAATAATTCTTCATGGTGTGCACAAGTCCTAGTCACTAAAAGTTAAACTCATAAGAAAAGGATGATTATAAATTATGCTCAAACGATAAATCGTTTCACAGAATTGGATGCTTACCCCCTCCCCAATATAGAGAATTTAATATATAAAATATCTAAGTATTCATTTTTTAGCACAATTGATTTAAAAGTGCATACCATCAAATACCAATATTTGTAAAAAATATAAGACCTTATACTGCTTTTGAAGCAGATGGAAATATTTATCAATTTTTACGAATTCCGTTCGGGTTTACCAATGGAGTGGCAGCCTTTCAACGGGTTATTAATTTGATGATTCAAAAAGAACAACTTCAAGGAACATATTCGTACTTAGATGATGTAACTATTGGTGGTGAAACTCAAAATATCAATCTCAGCAGATTCTTAGAGGTGGCAAGAAAATATTAGTTAACATTAAATAAAGAAAAATCAAAGTTTTCCTTAACTTCAATCAACCTTTTGGGCTACAATATAGAAAACAATACAATAAGACCAGATCCCGATCGATTGCGTCCGCTGCTTGAGCTGAATTTTCCCTCTAATCAAACTTCTCTTCGGCGTGTATTAGGTATGTTTTCCCATTATGCAAAATGGATACCTAGATTTTCTACTTTAATACAACCACTTATTCAATGTAAAATATTTCCAATTTTCTCAGAAGCTGCAAATTGTTTTAATACAATCAAGTCGAATATAGCCAAAGCGTCTGTTTCCGCAATTAATGACAAACTTCCATTTGTTGTGGAAACTGATGCCTCAGAATTCACTATAGCTGCCACACTATCGCAAGACAATAGACCGGTGGCATTCTTTTCGCGCACTTTATCAGAAACCGAAAAAAAAGACATTCTGCTGTTGAAAAAGAGGCTTATGCCATTGTGGAAGCGCTTAGAAAATGGAGGCACTATCTCACTGGTCGACCGTTCACCCTTTATTACTGATTAGAAATCAGTAGCGTTTATGTTTGATGCTAAACATTCAGGAAAAATAAAAAATTACAAAATTTTAAGATGGCGATTGGAACTTTCCAGCTATAGATATGACATTGTTTATTGTACTGGCAATTTAAATAATATTTGTGACACCTTATCAAGAGCTGAAAACCTGTCAAATGTATGCGCTAACGTATCGCCAGGATATGGAAATCGTCTTATTGAACTACATAAATCACTATGTCATCCTGGGATTACTCGTATGACCCTCCGGGTACGATCGAAAAATCTACCATACTCAATTGAAGAGATTAGAAAAATAATACTATCCTGTCCCGTTTGCTCTGAAGTTAAACCACGCTTCTACAAAATTCAAAACAATTTAATCAAGGCCACGAAGCCTTATGAAAGACTTTCATTAGATTTTAAAGGACTTCTACCTTCCACATCTCATAATAAGTATCTTCTTACTATAATTGATGACTATTCACGATTTCTATTTGCCTTTCTATGCAAGGATGTGTCTACAGCGAGTATTATAAAACATTTATCAAGTCTTTTCTCTCTCTTTGGGTTACCAAGCTATGTACATTCAGACAGATGCTCTCAGCTTTTATGTCGCAAGAATTAAGGGAATTTCTTCAATCTAAAGGAGTGGCGACTAGCCGGACGACTGCTTACAATCCACAAGGTAACGGCCAAATAGAAAGAGAAAACGGAATTATTTGGAAAACAATTCAGTTAACTACTAGATCAAAGGCCCTAAAAGTTTCTCAATGGGAATTAGTTCTTCCGGAAGTTTTACACTCCATTAGATCCTTGCTATGTACTGCTACTAACACAACGCCTCATGAAAGAATGTTTCTTCACAGTAGAAGATCAATAAACGGACAATCATTACCTTCTCCTACTCCTGGAACTGTCTTCATGAGGAAACACAATCGTTCCAACAAATATGAACCATTAGTGGAAGAAGTGGAACTTCTAGAGGCTAATCCGGATTATTCGTATGTCCGCTTAAGAGATGAAAAAAAAACGACTGTATCAAATCGACATTTGGCCCCTTAAGGAGACGAAGGACATATTGTACATGACGAACCTAAAGACGTAGAAACACCACCACCTGCACCACCCCGATGCTTTTTAGAAATTGATAAAATTTCAGAAAACTATTCCACGCCTGAATCTCGTACCGCTTATCTGAGGAACCGTTGCCAACGTCTTTGACAGGTGTAGACGAAGAAAATACCAATTATATAAATTCATGTGACACAAACCAACTGAGACGATCGAAACGAACTAAAGAAACTCCAAAGTATTTTAATGATTACTATCGTTTTTGAAGGTGGGAAGAATGTAGTATAAATCATATGTTAATAGTATATCACTCTGTATTGTTTTAATTTATAATTGTCAGTTACTAATTTAGTTGTCAATTTGTACGCTCTGTTTTTGTGGAATAAAGCCATTTATTCTGGGTTTTCACTACAGCCCCTTTGCCTTTTCAGCGATGACATGTTTGAGGCTCATGAGTTGCATGTCAGCACCACATCTATCGCTAACGCTGAGCACTTCAAGAATATACAAAAATAAAACTCAATTTTTTATTAAAATATTTTTGTGACAAAATGTAGCTTATTTAAATTATTTGTCTTGCAATAAAAAATCTTACTACGAGAGAAATATAAGATCTTCATACAAAAAATAAATTTATACAAAATATCACATTTATAACGAAAAATTTACATTTTATTTACAATTGCAGGAGACACGTTTATTCTTCGATTTGAACATCTACATATAAAATTCGCAGTCTTTGTAGTACAAATTCGAAGCCACTCATTTTTGCTACACAGATTGCACTTAGTTTTGTCAGTGGGAACACTATTTTTCGCGTTATTAACTATGATTGGGGTAACCGCAGGACAAGGCATCATAGACTCTGTACTCCCTTTGGTGCCTGGTGGAAAACTTACAGTCTTCTTCAAATTATGCTTACTCGGTGGGGCGTACTTATTACTAACCTCCTCTGGACGATATGACTGTACCCTTTGGTACACATCTTGAGGAAAAGGTACCATTTGATGAGGTGAATTTTGGAGATCGAATTCACGTTGTGGTAATCTTTGATTCACAACAGAATCTACCATCGGAACTTTTTGATAAGCATTCTGATCGTATCCGTTTTTGTACTGAATTTGTTCACTATGATAAGGAGGGGGTTGTCTGTGAAGCAGGGAATAATTCTTTATCGGTACATGAGGATTTTGCGGCGCTACTTGAGAATTTTTTATTAGTAAATGAGAATTTTGTGCTCGTAGATGAACATTTTGTACCGGTAGATGATCATTTTGTATCGGTAGATGATCATTTTGTACCGGTAGATGAGCATTTTGTACCGGTATGTAAGAATGTGGTAGTGGTACATGATAATTTTGTACCGGTGTAGGAACATATGGCGGTGAATGAGAGGGTACCATTTTACAAGGTGTATTTTGAGATTTGTATTGACCCGTTCGACGTATCATCGAGTGATCTAAGGAACTATTTGTGTTATTAACTATGATAGGAGTAACCACAGCAGAAGGCAACGTAGATTTTGTATCCCTTTTGACGCCTGGTAGGAAATTTACAGTCTTCTTCAAATTATACTTAGGCTGTGGAAGTTGCTGGTAAGGCAATGTCTTGCTCATTTCCTCAGGGTGATATGGTGGTACCCTGTGGTAAGCATGAGGAGAAGGTTCCATTTGATATGGCAAATTTTGGGGATCGGATTCAGGTGGTGATACTTTTCGATACACCTTAGAATCTTCTGAAGGTGGAGGTACTCGTTGATATGGCGAATTATGCGAATGAGGCGCGCTTTGAGAGGGATCCTTGTAATTATCCGGCATCGGTACTTTTTGATAAGCATTCTGATCATAAACGTTTTTGTACTGATTTTGATGATTATGACAAGGAGGAGATTGATAAGCTAAATGGCTGTTTATAGGATAGGTATTTGTTACCCTAATTTGATATGATTGCGGAAAAGATGAGAATTGGGAATTCTTATAATTGTAATTAGCAAGTGCTGCAGAATTTTGTGGAATCTGCTGATAGACGGATTGTGTGGGATGTGAATACTTTCTTTGATTAACAGAGTAATTGTCTTCGTAATGATTAGTAGGTTCATAGCCATTAATCTGAAAATTTTGTCTGTGAAGCTGGGAAGGATAAGGTATCGGTACTTGAGTGGGCAATTGAGAATTTTCTAATGGTGCATGAGCATTTTGTACCGATGCGTGAGAATTTTGTAGCGGTGCAATATCGTCAGGTGGAACTATTGGACAAGGTGATTTTTGAGGGGAATTGTGTATCGGCACATAAGATTGTTGTACCGGTGCAGGATTGTAAGGCGGTACCATTGGGCAAGGTGATTTTTGATGCATCATCGAGTTCGGTTCACTTTGATAAGATGGGTATCGGTGATAATTATCCGGAATTGGTATCCTTTGAAAAACATTCTCTTTGTACCCATGTTTATATTGATTTTGCTGATTGACATGAGCTGGTTGGTAGTTTGTGAGACTGTGAGTACTTTCCCTCATTTGAGATGATTTTGGAGAATCTGAGTATTGGGGATTCTTGTCATTATAGTTGTTATATTGTTGATGTGATGTATGCTTGGGATGATGTGAGTTTTGATTGCAATTAGCAAAATTATTATTTTCATAATTAGTATGCTCATAACCATTAAACATTTTAAACGAAATACCAGGTTTTTTGAAAAGATGGCACTGAGAATTTTGAGTTTAAAGCTTTTTCTTTTGACATTATACAATCTGTCTTTTTTGTACATGTATAGACACAGATAAGAAAATCAGTGGCATCCTTTTTTAATACTTCGGCTTACATTATGTTAAACCCTATATCATATGTTATTAGATAATACATCTTGTAGGATGAGAATTGTCATTGCCACAATAATTTAGTTGTCAATTGTATTATTAATTCCTTAATATTACTTCTTATTTATTACATTTACATAACAGATTCAGTGTTAAAACCTTTTAATGCCAACCTTTCCTGTTCTTTAGCAACAGGCTTGGTGCTGTTTTCATCAAATATTATGCCAATGCCCTACGGCGTTTCGCAATTACTAATAAAATCAGAGAAGAATTGCAGTCAGCTTTATAAAGAAGCTTCTGCCTTAAATTGGGGACTTCAAAATGTTTTCAATATTGTTATGGTAGAAAAATTATCCTAATAATAGACAATAAACCTTTACCAAGAATATTGCATTCAGATGAAGAACCTTCCAGTAACTACAGCTTTACGATTAGAACATTACGCAAATTCAACTACACAATTAAAATTCGACCCATTAACGCTGACTTACTTGTCAAGGTCTGCTACTGATGAACCTATATCTGAAGAAATTGATACGGACTGAGCATTTTAGTAGAATCGACTAAATTCCATTCCCGTTACGAAAGGTGAAATTGGAAAGAAATTCAACCAGATACTGAATGCAGGAAATTATTGTTAGAAGCTCATTCTGGAAAAGGTAATAATGTACATTCCCTTAATAATTATTCTATACAAGATGGATGTGTTTTTAAGGCATTAGAGTAGTTATTACAAAAACTCTTCATATTAGAATCTTGCAGAAGCAGCATCAAACTCATACTGGAGTAGTAGAGATGAAGGCCATATAGCAAGAAGTTACTTTTGGTGGCCTGGACGACAAAAACATTTAAGAGAGCTGAATAATTTAGAAATGGTTCCTTAATACCTAATAATCCTGTCAAAGTTGCATTCCATCCATGGGAATTCCTCAAAGAACCGTGGTATCGGTAGCCTATAGATTATGCCGGACCATTTTTAGGTACAATTTTTATTATTGTGGATGCTTACATACACCAGATGGTTTGAAGCTGTTCGAACAACTTTCACAAGACTTGGATTGCCAGTAATCATTATTTCTGATAATACCAAGCGATTTAAATCTTATGAAATATTGGAATTTCTTAAGTCAAACGGTATAAAATATAAATGTAAGGCTCTCTATCCTCAATAAGCTAAAAGATAGGTTACCAATACTTGTACACTATGGTACTGATGAACCACAACCACTTAATATGAAGTTATGCAATATAGAAAAACACCAAGTAGTTTATAATACAATTTAAAACACCTATTTATCTTGTTAGGGGTGGTAATATCCAAGATAGTCAAAAAATAGCTCCAAATCATAGTGAGTATATCTGAGCATTTGCGTGAAAATAGCAAATACATTTTCTGAATAAGACCAAAAAATGGTTTTGCTACCGCAGAAGAATTGGCTGCACTCGTGGTCACGTCTTTTAATGGATCTAGCTAAATATTTTCAGAGGTAAAGAAAGAGGCATAAACATTCGAGACGCGAGGCCCTTAAAACCGCGAGGCCGTAGGCGGTGGCCCACGTCGCCCACGCCTTACGCCGCTTCTGACTAGTAGCCTTTTCAAGGAAAAGAAAACAATCTCAAAATCATAAAATTAGATAGGATAGATATAGAATGGAAAAAATTAAATAGGCCTAATCCTGAACAAACTTCTCTGGAACATACATGAGAAGGAAGTAGTTAATAATGTCACAAAAGCCCTAGTGGTATGCAGAAACATTGCGGGTAAAATATGTAACCCGAACACACTCCGATGGATGTATATATACTGCAAGAGTGAGACCAACGATCACTTATAGGGCTATAGCCTGGAGTAACCACTAGTTTAGCTACTACGAGAGCTAATATCTCAAAAATACAAGACTAGCCTGTGTTTGCATCACTGGTGCAATGAGAACCTGCCTTACGGCCGCAATGGAGGTGATCTTAAACCTCACCCATCTACATTTGGTGATAGAGAATGTGGCAAAAAGGACACGATATAGAATGATCAGGAACGGAGTAATCAGACGAAAGTCTATTAGCTTAAGGATCGAAGATACTTGGGATATACCCCAAGATGAATGAGAAAGAAGTACAGTTTTGTGAAAAACTTCAAAACCAAAAAGCTGGACTGCAAGAAAAACTGGAGCCAAGAATCCATCGTGCTTGCAACCGAAAGATGCTATTCAGTGATACGCGGATGGCTCCAAAACTGTAGAAGGAACTGGAATAGAAGTGTATGGGCCAGGCACTCTAGAAGTTTTGGAAAATATCCATGCATCTTTCTGGTGGTAATTCACGCCATTGAGAAGTTGCTGGCCCAATATTACAAGGGTGTATGTTACAAATTAAAAATATTGTCCTAGTACTTTTACAGGGGGCTATATCATCTGGGCTACACATAGAAACTGGTTTGAAATACTTATCACTATTAAAACGAATACAAATAGGAGAAATACAAAGGTGAATGTTATTTTCGTTAAATGTTTGGTACTCCAAAGATGTATGTTTAAACATTGGACCCTTTTTAATGGGTATTAATAATTGACCTGACAACAAAGTTGTATGTTAGAATAAAAAATTACATCTTTTTTGTTTTTCATTTATATAAATGAGTTAAAAATGCATTTTCTTTTTTATGGGCATTAAAACTTTAGTTTAAGAATATTTTTTAATTTTTTTAAATATTTAAATCATTTTATTAGTATTCCAAGGTTGTATGATGCACATTTTGTAAAAATATTTTTTTTTAAGAAACAAAGTTGTATGTTTTTTTTAATTGAAAAATATATATTTTTTGGTAAATAATTATTCTTTTTGTGTGTTAACTTTCTATTTACTCCCAACAGAATGAAGGGGAATAAAAATGTATTCAAATATATTTTCAATCCTTAAGGAAAATATTTAAAACTAGTTTTTGTCATTTTCAACATTATGTTACTTAGAACCATGTAATATTATGCCAGCGAAGTGTATCCAATTTAATATCGAGAGAACTATTGTAGACAAGAGATTATCATCATGTCCGATACCCAGTCTCGCAAGGAAAGGGACTCGAAGACCTTTTGTGGGACCTGAGCTGTTCTGTAGTAACACAATATTAGGTGAGATTAAAAAAGAATTGGGCAGTAGAAGAATCGATAATTGGCATAATCTCTTAGGGCTAAGGAACTTCTGGTTGAATATAATCAGAAAAGATTGGAAGCCTGTATTTGCCTAGTTAATTTTAAATGCTATTGTTTGAGGCATGTTCCTTAAAAAACATTCTATTGTCTACTATTACACCTAAGTATTTAATTTTTTTTACTAACTCAATTTTATCGTTTGCTATTTTAATATAATTATATTCATTGAAGTCATGGTATTGCTTGTCGTTTCCTATAATCATGAATTTCTTTTTATTTTTAATGAGTTGATGCTGCATCACTTATATATTGACTTCAGTGCTTCATTTATTACATTAATTACATCGATAAGATCATTTGATGCACAACAGATTAAAGTATCATCTGCAAACAGATGAATATTGCATCTATCAATAATAAATGAGATATCATCCATATACAATAAAAAAAAGTAGGGGACCTAACACGCTACCTTGCGGTACACCACACTCCTTTGTATTTTCAGTAGATAAAATGTTATTTAATTTTAATTTCTGTTTTCTATTATCTAAATATCCTATCATCAATTTTAAAGCACTATCAGTGATACCAAAACGTTCTAGTTTTCTAATAAGTAAAGAACGGTTAACAGTTTCAAATGCCCGCTGAAGATGTAAAAAAACAGCACCTGTTATTAATTTATTATTATGGTTTTATTTCCACTCATCTAAAACATACTGCAGTGCTGTTTTGCAACTATGTCTACCTCTAAATCCCGACTGTACACTATTTAATAAATTATTCCCTTCTAGATATTCAACAAGTTGACTATAAACTACCTTTTCCAATACTTTCTCAATAGTAGGTACAAAGCCTACTGATTGGTCTAAGATCAGCTGCCTTATTGGAATTAGTAACTTTAACAATTTGTGTTATAGTTGAAACTTTTAAGATTGATGGAATGGTTTAAGGGCAGTGCAACATTATCAATTCAATTTTTTAAAAATTCTACATTTATGTGCCATCCATTTCAAAAATAATTTCCTTTAAAGGGTCCTTATCAATTAATTTAAAACTTTTTAAGTAGACATTGTTAGTTATATTTGCAGTAGGAAAATCTGGAACATTATATTCTATATTATTGATACTGTTATGTAATATTATTTGGTTAAAACCTCAGGCATTTCACATATATATTTTACTACTTGACTTTCACTCACCTCAATCTCTGTGATACGAAGTTCTTTATTGTTTTTAGGTATAGTTTCCTTCAATATCTTCCACAATTTAACAGAATTATATTTGTTCTCAATTTGTTGTTCATAGTATTTAGTTTTTTCTTGTCGAATTACCTTAACTGCTAAATTTCTTGTCTGTTTTTATATCTCTAGATTCCTAGGAGATTTATTTAAAATATATGCCTGATAACTAATATCCCTATCAAATAAAAGAGAGAGATTTACCTAACCTGAAGCCACTCCAAATCCTACACTGACTTGAGAACATAGGGCTGGACGGGTCATAGACATCGATACACATCCTTGTTGCATTAGGGACAGAAGGGGGAATAACAGATCTTTTAGGTCACAGTGGTATTAACACCCCATTCCCAAATTAATATAAGAAAATTTCAATTCAAAAACTCCCATAAGCCAAAAATTAAAAAAAAATATTTTTTTTTAATCACCATTTTCATTTTATTTTTTTTAATATTCGTTTTTTTTTATTAAATTGTTCTAGATGAAAGTACACTTATTGCAATTTTCTATTAATAATTATCTTTATATTTTTTTGTATATATTATATTAAAAAAAGCCCCAATATATACTGTGGGGTGAGAGAATTTAGTCATGTATCAGTTGCATTATTAATTTCTTAATATAATTACTTCTAATTTATTACATTTACATAATACCAGTGGCGTAGCTACGTGGGGGTTTTGGGGGGCCAGAACCCCCCCCATGGCGGGTCCTCACGTCACCATTTCCGCTATAGTATTGGCGCTGATCGATATTGACCGTTTGTTTTTATTATCTTTCTTGATAGAACCCCTCCCCCCATAGTTCTCAAAAACCCCGCTCATGAAAAATGACTGGCTACGCCACTGCGTACTGCATACATGACACATTATTTAAAAATAAAATATCTTTGAAATTAACATTTTATAAACGAAGGCAATTTAAAGAAACCATAAATGAACAAAAATTAAAAATTATAAAGTAAAACACTTTAGATTTTAGCTCCTCCATTTGTAGATCTGGAAATTCAAATTATGCATTGGTGATAGATAGATAGATAACTTCATCATTTCAAGAATGTACAAAAATAAAACTCAATTGTTTATCAAAAATTTTTTATTACAAAATATAAATTGTACTAAAATTATTTGTCATACGATAAAAAATCTTACTCTGAGAGAAATATGAGATCTTTATATAAAAAACTTAAAATAAAATTCTGTAACATTTAAACAAAATATCACATTTAATAGAAAAAAACGAAAAATTTACATTCTATCTACAATCGAAGGAGTTATGTTAACTCTTCGGTTTGAACCTTGACATATAAAATTCACAGTCTTGGCAGTACAAATTCAAAGCCACTACGTTCTTTTTCCTACACAGATTGCACTTAGTTTTGTCTGTAGGAACACTATTGTTCGCGTTATTAACTATGATGGGGGTAACCACAGCCCAAGGCATCGGAGACTCTGCACCCCCTTTGGTGCCTGGTAGGAAACTTACAGTCTTCTTTAAACCTTGCCTAGGCGGAGGGACGTGCTGGTATGGCGATGTCTTACCTACCTCCTCTGAATGACAGGGCGGCACCCTTTGGTACGCATCTTGAGGAAAAGGTACCCTTTGATAAGGTGAATTTTGGTGATCGTATTCTGGTTGTGGTACCCTTTGATACACCATAGAATGTTCCGAAGGTGGAGGTACCCGTTGGTACGGCGAATTCTGTGAATGAGACTCGCTTTGAGGTGAGTACCTGGGGTAATTATCTGGCATGGGTACTCGTTGATAAGCATTCTGATCGTACCCGTTTTTGTACTGATTTTGTTGATTATGATAAGGCGGGGTTTGATAAGCTGGATGTCCATTTATAGGACTGGGATTTGTTACCCTCATTTGAGAAGATCTAGGAGAAGATGAGTATTGGGGATTCTTATTATTATAATTGTAATAAGCTGCGTAAGCTGCAGAATTTTGTGGAATCGGTTGATAGGGCGATTGTCTAGGAGGGTGTGAATATGTACTTTGATTGACAGAGTAATTGTCTTCATAACTATTAGTACGTTGAAAAGTAGGTTGATGTCCATTGAACATTTCAGAAGAATAAATAGGTCTATTGTGAACATCGCTCTGAGAATTTTGTCTATGAATCTGGGAGGAATTATGCATCGCTACATGAGGATTTTGCACTGCTACGTGAGAATTTTGTATGGGTAAATGAGAATTTTGTACTGGTACATTAGCATTTTGTACCGGAACGTGAGAACTTTGTACAGGTACATGAGAATTTAGTACCGGTACATGAGAATTTTGTACCGGTACATGCGAATTTTGTACCGGTACAGGCGAATTTTGTACCGGTACATGAGAATTTTGTACCGGAACATGAGAATTTTGTACCGGTACATGAGGATGCTGCACCGGTGCAAGAGGGTTCTGTGCAGAATTTTGTATTTGCGAGTGTCCATTCTGATAATGTCCATTGTACATCGGTTGTGGAGACTGCCTATATCCTTGCATATCTGCAATTCCGTTTGGCTGTATAGGCACCATATGAGACAAATTCCGTTTGACGTATACAGGTTGAGTTTGTGTAAGAACTTCATTTGGTTCGGGTCTATCTTTTTTAGCTTCATTTTCTCTTAGCGTCATAATTTCTTGTCTTATAGCTACACTTTCGGGTTTGTTCATGGCCGTTCTTAGCACCCTTTCCAAAATAGGGTTAGGAATGAAACTGTCATCTTCTTGCTCGTCTGCAGTTGCAACAAGAATGACTTGATCGCAGAACGATACGCTCTTTTTCTTAGTTAACTTTCTTTTTTCTTCATTCGAATTTGGATCAGATGCTCCTAAGTTTAGAGTCTTTTGTACTACAGCGTTGAGCATCTCAACTTCTCTTAGTTCTTCAGCAATCTGTTCAGCTGCTATAAGATCTGGCTCTTCTCGTTTCTTCATGGAAAGTACACCGTTATTCTCATTTTTAACAGGGTCATGTTTGTAACTTTGTACCAAAGGCTTCACCTCTTGGAATTCAAACTTCGAGGCCAAGTCTCTGACAGATTGCTTATTGTTCTCCCCTGGTGTAAATCTTTGCGTATTTACTACGTCGATTCCTTCAGAGATGTTGTTTTGGTTCTTTTTACTCTTTAGTGCTGCTTGCTTGGCTTGCAATTCTTTTAACCAAGTATCGCCAGACGATTTAGGAACTGAGCAAAATCTCTGTAAATCAGAATCCTGAGATAATATTTGTTGACGTTTATTTTGAAGTTGAGCTAGCAAGGTACTAGGTTGTGCTAATTGTTCTAAATGTTCATCTAGCGCTGACAAATCTAACGGAGGTGGAGGTGGTGGAAATTCTTCACTAGCTTGTCTGGAGTGAACTGCTGATCCTAACGGACTTGGATACGGGGGTAAATCCATGTGAGCTACGTGGTGAGGATTGGGAAGACAATCAACTTCGTCCACACCACTGTCTCCATTGTAACTCCTGGAATTTTCTTCCTGGTGAACTTCTGCTTGTGTAATAACGGTATTAGTACTACTGTTGTAGAAACTATCGTCGCTAAATGAACTATCCTTGTAATGGGGTAAAGATACTGGAGCTGTTTGGTAACAGAAATCTTGTTGGTAGAATCGATTTTGGGAAAACTGCTGAGTGTCCTCACAAACTTCTGGTACATTCAACTTAGATTTACTAAGTTGTGAAGTCGTTCTAAGGGGTGGTGGAGGGGGTACTTTAGCCATGGTTAGAATCTTGCCGGCACTGCCATGGAAGCTCTTTCTCATCAGTTTGCTTCGTTCCAAGTTTGGATTGGGACAACTTCCTGTGAACTCGAGATGACCTTCTGACAGATAACCGCTCATGCTTTTTTGAGACTCCAAAGTACCTGAAAATAAAAATGTTTAGTCTTAGTTAAGTCTAAGAGTTTTTATTTAATCTTTTACGTAGAAGGGCTAAGAATTTACGAATACTAGAGGACAAAAAAAAAACAAACAAAAAACATTTAATTTAAATTGTACCCATCTTAGATTTGAACCCGGGCCTTTTGCTTGAAAAGCAAGTGCTATCATCTCACCACCATCGAAGAGCTTGACATTTTTGGTGTAATACTCGTAATTAAATTGACCTCATATAGTTTTATTAAAATTAACAAATTATTTAGATAAAATAAAAATAAATGCTATAGTAGAATAACTCGTTTTACAATAAGTAAAAAATATACTGACAATTAGTTTGACAATATTATCAATTCTTTAAAATTTTTAAAATGATGGTAGTCGGGTGACCAAAATATGAACTGTGATTGGTGGATATGAAATACATTCGTTCAGTTAAAAATTATTATTTACCTTTTAATCCAACGTTGCTGTCATCCACTGTAACTGTCGGTCCTTTGACAGAACTGTCTTCGACAGAATTCGTGTCTGTTAAATCAGGCATACTTCTGTTTTTCCGCTTAATCAAACCACCCATCAGCAGTTTCCTTCGAATCTTGTGTTGTTTTTTCGCTTTCCCGTCTTTATCTTTCTTTTCTTCATCCTTCTCTTTAGCTTTCTTCAACGTATCTTTTCCAGTGATGATTTCCGGAGCAATTGAGAAGTCGCATCTTGATAATTTATTACGATCTTCGCTTCTGGATCGTTTTTCTTTAACTTTCTGGTCTTTGTTTTTGGATCTCGAAAAAATGGATCGTGATTCTCTAGCAGGAGGTTTGTCGTATATCATGTATTCGTCGTCTTCAACTTTAGTGCTGGATAATTTATTTTTTAAATCTTTATTTTTCTTGGGCAAAGTAGCATAGATTTCAATGCTTTTGGTATTTTGTTTTTCTTTTTCGGGTATCAAAAGTTCTTTGCTATTTTGCCTGGAATGATTACCTTTATCTCTTGAATTTTGCCTCGAATGTCTACCACTACTACTGCTTCCTTCTCTTGTGTGTCGTATTTCTGGAGTATTATCTTTAATGGTTGGGTTAGGTACTTGAGTCATCCTTCTATGCAGACTTCTAGCTCGCATTATGCAAGTGTTGTGCTTCATTCTAGCTAGAGTAAGTGTCTGTGGGTTATTATAAGGAGCATTCATGGCAGCTCGGGCTTTAGTAGCGGCAGCATTGCAGAGAGCAAGGGCTAAAACGAGATCGTGTTCATCCTCAAGTTGTCTAGATTTAACCAGGAGTTCATCAGCTTCATCGCAAAGTACATCACAACTTAAAGAATTTTGATTAGGTACTATATTGTTATAATCTTCAGGAATCTTTGCTAAATGTCCCATTTTCATTAAATGCTGTAAAGTAGTTACTGTTGAGCTGTCATTAGATGATAACGAGTATGAATCATATCCTGCGTCATATACCCCGCTGCTACTGCTTGAGTAATCTGTTTTTGTTCTCGTAGGACTTCCAGGAACGCTGCCACCATTGCTAGGAACTTTACCGACGAGATAAAGGTAGGGATTCTCCATAGTAGTCGATGAAGCCGAGGAAGCACTGTTTCTATCACCACTCCAATTACCGCTATCTCGTCTTCTAGGCACGTTGAGATGATCCGGAATATTTATTCCCTCTATTCCAGACGAGGAACTGTTACTTAACGTTCTGTGAACTCCAATTTGGGACTTGCCAAAATCTAATGACTTTCTAGTCACATATTCCGGGTCTTTTTTGGTGATGCAACCATCAACAGTATCGATATCTTGGCTTTGGGAGATGTTGTTCTGGATTACAGCCAAGTTCTGGTAATCGTTATACGGTCTGGGCAATGGTGGTTTCTGATTGATTTGAGAACCATCTGGATTGGGGGTTATGGCACGTCTAGTAGTTCCTATCATCGGTTTTTCGGGACTTGGTGTTACAGATCGTCGTAGAACAGATTGTGGGGGTTTCCTGTTAACCCTTTCGGATAGTAAAGGGGTAATTTGTTTCGGTGCGTTTTCTGTATTTACAGGGGTACCATCTGGGAGGGCGTAGAGCAGAAGTAAAGGTTGATACCTGAAAAAAAAAGTGATTATAAGATAAGTATTTGTTTGAGTTTGAATAATAGACGTAAACCTGTACCTAAGTTAGGTAACATGTAAAAAATTAAAATTGAATTGCACTTACCTTCCTTTTCGGCATTTTTCGACAACTTGCTCCCACCTAGGTCCTACTTCCCTAACGGTAGCGTCGTCAAAATAAATCCACACTCTGAGCTTCGTGTGGAAGAAGAACGTGGAGTAGTGTTTTCCATAGTAAGTTACCACTCCGACAAGGTTATGGACTGATAACTCGGCCCATCGACTGTCCACGACAGTATTGAAAACGTCTCCTAATCGAAGAGTTGTTCCAATGGTAGAGAAAACTTCCATGATATGTTCTAAAGTCGGTCGTTCGGAGTTCCAAACTAGTCCTATTGAAACTATTTCAGGTCGGTTCATGAGGGTGCGGCCTATTTGAATTACAGCGCCGCAAGCACTCTGGAATAAAAAAAATTATTAGTAAATATACAGTATGGATAGATATAAATTGAAATCATGGTATTTAGGCAAAAATGTTTATGTATATTTTCCTCCTCTACCCTGTCCCGTTTCTTTTCAATATCAATTAACTTTACTCTAATATCATTACCAATAATGTCGCATAATGTTTTTCTTTGGTCTTTGCCTCTTACTACTATCCACATATAACCATACCACTTTTCTAGTGAAATTGAACTTTTCCTTTTATTTGAACCCGATGTCTCAGCCATCTAAGAATTATCATATTCTCGCCAAGATTCGTGATCCCTTAACTGTCCCTAATAAGTTAATTTTTAATTTTGTTCCATTCATTAACTGTCACACTTTGAGGGGAGTAGCAAAGTGTGACGGTAGGAGGGAGTGGACAGACTTTTGGGTTATTATTTTAAAAACTAAAAACCATAGAAGCTCATGAATATCCATCCACAGTTAGACGCGCCAGGGATAAGGCACTTTGCTGTACGGTGACAAAAAGGCTCTTCTGTAGCTGGACAAATAAGTGGTTAGCAGCAGCCACATTATAAAAATAATGTGAGCGAGTGGCATGAGATACCATAGAAGGGTTCTGGGTCAAAAATATACTTTGAACTGTTCTCTGGCTTGTAAATCGGCCTCCTCATTGAACTTATATCCTCTGTGGCCTGGTATCCAGGTTAAAGTTAGCCTGTTTTGACTATCCAGTTCTATTAGGACTTCTAAACAGCCCCACACAAACTTTGACTGTACCTGCATGGAACTAAGTGGTTTTATCGCCGCTGAATATATGACAATGGTTTTTCTTTTACCTTATGTCATAATTCCACTTTTGCGCAAAGATGTATTGCTGCTATTTCTGCCTGGAATATTGTTGCATGTTAACCCAAGTTCAATGAGATATTTGTCTGTGGCTTAGCACCATATCTCCTGCTTTTTCATTGTAATATTAATAGTGGTAAGAAAAACGTCGTACGCACTTCAAAATCTGAAACACGGGTTTCGGTTTTCTTACTGTGTTTTCGACCTGTAAATTACACTTACTTGGTATATAAATACCTATTATTATAATCTACTCCCATTTAATGAAGTAATTTAACTGTTGGTGCTTAACAAAATATATTAACATTTTCTCTTGACAATATAAACAAGAATATCCGTTTAATGTCGTAGCAGTATTTTTAAAAATGTGCATATTAACGTACCGGACAAGTTCTAATGTCTCCCATGTTTCCAGCTTTCCGCAAAAGTTGTCCAAACGGATCTGCATTCAAACGACCCCCATTTGCTCGTACTTGGTATACCAAAGTCGATGTGGAAACATAATGTACCATCTGTAAATAATAGATAAATTAAATTCTATTGTTTATTGAAAATCATTATGTTGAACAATAAAATTCTATATTGTATAAGTATCTAATTAAAAAAATGTCATTGAAATTATTTATGCAAGAAAGAAGTAAACAAATATCTTATTACGGTATTAATTATATTGAACTAATCAAGGCCAAAAATCCAGTCATATGTATATCTATGTATCTTGTTTCTTGGAATTTTACCGTGCCTTAAGGTTAATTCGCAATGCAAATATTACGCAATCATTATAATGCCATAAAGCCGCGGAATTTACTTCATAAATATAATTAATGTTGCAATTAGATAGTTTTTTCTTAAAACCATTGGCTGTCTAATAATATTAACGTATAAGTCTTAGGCACTTATAAAATTGATTTTTTCTTTTAGGATTTCCAGGATGTTACTATAATAATCAATAAATCATGGTGAAAGATCTATATTTGAATTGAAATAGATATACTTTATTTATCTAATAATAATTGACTTATCAAAGAAACTGAAAGTTTCGTTTGTATTAAACCCCTATATTTTTGCTTTACTTATTTCCCTTGCTTTTCTTTTATATCATTTCATCTATTGCTAATATGTAGTTAAATTAGAAGGGATAGATATAGATTGGAAAAATGAAGTCAAATATATAGGCCTAACCCTGGACAATAAACTTCTCTGGAACACACATGAAAAGGAAGTAGTAAATAAGACAACAAAAGCCCTAATGGGGATGTAACCCAAACATACTGAACTAGTTTAGCTAATATCTCAAAAGTACAAAGACTAGCCTGTGTTTGCATTACTGGTGCAATGAGAACCTGCCTTACGGCCGCAATGGAGATGATCTTAAACCTCACCCCTCTACATTTGATGATAGAGAATGTGGCAAAAAGGACACGATATAGAATGATCAGGAACGGAGTAATCAGACGAAGGTCTACTTGCTTCAGGACTAAAGATACCTGGGACATGCCCCAGTATGAAATACTAAACAAGTACAGTTTTATGAAAAACTTCAAAACCACAGAGCTGGGCTGCAAGAAAGAATGGAGCCAAGAATCCATAGTGCGAAAGACCTGCTATAACGGGATACAGGGTAACGATATTGCAGATAGTCTTGCAAGGAAATGGGCTCAAACACCTTTTGTAGGACCTGAGCCGTTCTGCGGTATCAGCAGTAACATAATATTAGGAGAGATTAAAAAAGAATTGGGCAGTAGAACCGATAATTGGAACAATCTCTTGGGGCTGAGACAGGCTAAGATACTTCTGGGTGAATATAATCAGAAAAGATCGGAAGCCTGCATCTGCCTGAGCTACGTAGGCTACGTATTGTAACAGGGATCCTTACCGGGCATTGCCGACTAAAAGAACACCTTAGTAAACTGAGAGTAGTAGAGGATAGTGAGTGCAGATTCTGTGAGGAGGAGGAGGAGGACGAAACCTCGCATTCACATTCTAACTGAATGTGTAGCCAGGCCCATGACACTCCCTGGGCGGGAAAAAGACACGCAGCTTTTACTGCGCTGACGTTTTCGGGATATAACCTATCACTTGTCATAAATCCGGTTAAAAACTCGCTACCATGCGCAGGCAATCCATATTTCGTACACAAATACAAACTTTTGTTTACATTTTATCGAAATAGTTTTTGTAATACATTCACAACTTAAAAACGGAAAATTTGTTATTTTGATAGTGAATTTAGATCAAAAATACCCCAAATACACTTTAGTGTGTGTTTTATCCATATTGTTACGTATTATTGCTCGTTTTTTTTGAGAACATTGGAATAAAGAGAGTACTAGAAGTAATCAAGCTAAAAAGGTGTCTTATAAGAAGAAAATACATTGCATTCGACTGATTTATGTTTAATATGTTTTCGTAAAGTATTTCCAACATGCTAGTTCCTTGAATGGTTGTAAATTGTAAGTGTATAAGTGATAGAAACTGATCTAGTGCTTTGTGCTTCGTTTTTTTTTGTGTTGGTGTCCCAGCCCAGCATTCCTAGCCAGCAGTAGTAGCAAAAACAATAACATTGTCTACATTCAACCCGTTTATATGTACATGATTCATCAGCTAAAAGCAGAATACAATAGTTCTCTGCAAAATGTAAACAACGCTACAAGGAAAATTGCTCATGTATAAATTCAACAATTAAATCAAAATATATTATTTTTAAAGGACTTATATAAACTATTATGTTAATTATAAATCTTATAATATAAATATTTGTAACAAAATAATAGTTGTGTATTAATAAATCTGTTACTAGTAGTAACTTACTACTCCAAAAAATATATTGTTTATTGATTATCAGGTATCAAAAATAATATCTTTCTTATTATAGTTGTAAATAAAAACAACACTTTTTATCCGTCCATTTAACATATGCATATTTTAAGTTGTAAGGATCCGTAGCCTCTTAATTTTTTACATTAGACACAAGACCTGTGATGTCACATTAAATCGTGAATATGAAGTAAAGGATTTTGGAGTTGTCTTTCAGTCTAATTTGAAGTTTAATAACCATTTCTTACACATAACTAAAAAAACAATAAAAGCTTTGAGTTTTTAAATCATAAATACAAAAAAATTTAGAATTACCACCAAAATCAGATTATATAATGCCTTACTAAGACCCCATCTTGAGTATGTTTCACAAATATGGATGCCCTTGAAAGCCACACATATTGATCATAGTGAAAAAGCACAAAAAATATTTTTACCATACCCTTATGCCATAAAAAATACTTGTACCCTTATAAGATCACATATAACACTATGCTCGATAGTTTTAAGTTTAAATCTCTTTTATAAAGAAGAAAGCAACAGGCTGTGATATATTTTGTACTCTATTTTAAATAATGTTAAGTACAAAAATTGTGATTTGATTGACTATATAAATTTTAATGTGGCAAAGATTAATCTAAGAATCCCAAGTAACAAAAAATTATTTAGTTTAGATCCAAGTAGTATATCTCCTTTTAACAAGATAATGGCTATTACCAATGAGTTTTTTAGATATCTTTAATGTTAGCCTAAGAAAGTTGAGGACTGTACTAAATTAAGTTTACTAGATATAAAGGTTTGTTTTGTTTTTAAAGTTCTTGTTACTTAACTCTACATGTAACTACTATTAATTTTTTATAGTATGCAATAAATAAATTATACCTTATGGCTGCTTTCAAACAATTCTGTGTGTAGTCACTCAGTTTAAAGTTAATTTTAAATTAATGAATTTAATAAGAATGTCAAATAGTGCGATATGTATAGTGTCTATGAATTTGCTGTGTGTAGTAAATGGCTAATAAACATAACTTTAATATTTTTATTACAAGTTTTTTAAATAAATTCATAATAAAAAGTAACGATTTTAGTCTGCCATACTTGAACTCATTCACTAAAACAAGTCACTGAGTATATATTTGTAAAAAAACTACACTAAATATGTCTCCATTATAAATTTTTATATTTAAAACTACATACTTTCCTATAGATTTTGCAGTAAGTACCTAAATAACGTATAGAATAAATTTCTACAACATAGAAAAGTTTTAGATTAGAGTAATTTTTAAGAAATAAAGCAAAACCTCTATTTTATTACTCTAACCTTGTGTGTTATATATTTTCCTTGACAAGCTAACGTTATATTTTGAACTAAAAGTAATTAAACTTTTCACTAAAAAGTAATATTTCACATATATAAAAAAATTTTAAAACGGTTCTGCCTTCTCACATTTGCGAAGACTGCCCTGATATCTAATCTATTTTCTTCTTCAAAGTAATTAAGTTGTTCAACCGTTGTCTATAAAGGTATCTCACATCTCGCTCATACACACAAATTTGAAAAGCAGCAGAACAAAAATTCAACTAACCAGGTATACCAAGTCCGTGTAAAGAAAACTTTTCATATCCCGAAAACGTCAAGTGTCAACTAAAATTTCTACTTTTAAAGATCAAACGTGCCGCCTCAGAGTGCCAATACTGATTGGTATATATACTGGGGTGTAGCACTCCAGAATCCAAGGGCACTATATCTAGGAGGATATCAAATAGAAGAGGGAGATTTACCTAACTTGAAGCCACTCCAAATCCTACACTTCCTTGAGAAAATAGGATTGGAAGGGTCACTATAGGCATTGAGACATTTCCATGGTACATTAGCGACAGAAGGGAACACAATAGATCTTTTAGGTTACAGTGTATTAACACCCCATTCCCAACATAACAATAACATTGCTAATACGTAGTGGCAAACTTTAACATTCTTTGAATTTTGTAGAGTCATACTAAACCGAACTACTGTGGAGACAAGACACGTTTGAATATGGACTATTTTCATGCTTAAAAAATTGAAATGGTAGTCGGGACCATCAGAAATGTCATCTGTAAAAATTTAGTTTAAAACCTTTGCAAACGAAACGTTAGACAACTCAAAGTTGTAAAAATATCTGCTAAAAAAATGTGCAATACAAATATTTGATTAAATAACTCACTTGACATGTTATCTCAGTTTGTTAAGCATTGACCATGCAGTTAAATTTACATTTCGCGACGCGGTTCAATTCACGATAAAGGCAATCTTTTTTTTTTTTTTGAAAAATATGAAAATTGAAAAAAATACACACTACTGTTTACTTATTTTAAATATGTTTCATTTATTATTGTTGTTGTTGTTTATTTATTTTAAATACGTTTTATTTGGCATAATAATAATAATAATAATTATATTATGATAAAAATGTATTTTAATAAATAAACAACAATTTTCATACTCCTTTTAAATAAAAAAAAATTTAAAAAAAGACTGCATTCATCGTGAATTGAAAAGCGTCGCGAAATACAAATTTGACTGCATATTCAATGCTTAACGGACTGAGCTAACGACTCATGTTAAGTTAGTTATCTAATCAAAAGTGTGTATTGTATTGTACAAGGTGGCGCAAAATCAAGTACCCTATGGAATGTTGTCATGGTTTCGTTTGTAGTTGACATCTGTTCGAGTTTATCTGTCAGTTGCAAAGTAGATACTTGGGAAATTCATTATGAATCGATATACGCCTCGAGAACGTGCCGAAATCGTAAAATTTTTTTATCAAAATAATTCGTTGATTATCAGATTTTTTCCTGGACGCCTTATCTCGAAAAACGGCGATATTGCATATCCGCCAAGGTCTCCCGATTTAACTGTTCCAGACTTTTGGTTATGGGGTGGTTATCACAAAGATAGGGTATTTGTAATTATCGAACATTAAAAGGCAACATCCGGGAAGAAATTGACAGAATACCACCTGAAATGTTGGAGAAAGTTATGAAAAATGCTTTAAAAAGAGCTCATTATTGCATTAATGCTGGGGGTGGCTATTTGGTCGATATTGTTTTTAGTGTGTAACAAAACAAATTTTTAGAGTTTAAATAAATATTTTTCATTTATAATATGACTGTTTTTTAATTAATTTTACTTTTATATAAAAAACAAATAGGGGACTTTATTTTGCACCACCTTGTATTTCAACAAAAAAAATTACAACTTTGAGTTGTTTGGCGTCTCGTTTGCAAGGGTTTTAAACTAAATACTCGCAGATGATCACTCATATCACCACAAAATTCCAGCCAGAAGTATCACCGCCAGCTCTTAAACTATAAGTACATCATTTATGGAAATATTAGTTTAAATTCAATTTATTTTGTGTTTCTTTCCAAACGTCCTAGATCTCTTTTATTTTCTGTCATTCGGTAAGAACATGGTAGAATATAATAATATATATTTTCGGTCACTTCGTCCAAAAATAACGAATGATCCACAAAAAAATGTTTCTAGAGTAAACCATGACCGACAAAGATAGATGTGAGTAATATATGCCTTTGAATTAAATCCAAACTTATTTTTTAAACAAGAAAATTGTAAGCTCCGAAATGCGTAATTTTTTCCATGGCCTACTTTGGAAATATTTATGTGGAAAAAACTGCTTAGAGAGATCTTCTATTCTTTCTAAGGAATAACTAATGTAAAAAACTTTTTGGATATATTTAATCTCGGATTCAATTATAGGCTGCGCAATATAACTTTGAAGCACAAATTTCTTATATTGCTTTATGTTTACATACCAGTATTTAAGACTACATTCATACATACCTGAGTATAAGACAAAGGTTCCGAGGTAGCGCCGCAAGACGCGCAAACGCTCTGATCGACCAACGTCATGGCGAACTTCTGATGAGGGATGCAATGCCGCGCATTGCACATATCCTCGGCTTCGCCTTGCGCAATGTGCATATGGATGCGCATAAGCATATTTTCGAAGCATTCGGCCGCATCGTCCATAAATCCTAGCTGGAACCGGTTTTGGTCGAAGAAACTTTCGGCTAACGCCCTGCGTAATGTGTCTGGAGGAAGTGCGGTTTCCGTAGAGAATTGTAGTTGGGAGAACAGCTCCTGTAACAAAATGAAATACGTTAATGCATGTATATAATCACTGACAATTTTAATTATAAATGATTATCAAGAAAAAATATTGTATAAAGTCTTGGTGTATTAAATATGCTTAATAATGGGTATGAAAAGAAAATATACAAGTAATTAAAAATATATGACATATCGTCGGTACAATGCCAAAACCACGAATGTGCAAATTTTGAATTTTTCTCCTAAGTACTTTAACCTTGAAAATTATCAATTCCAAAGTCAGGAATGTGCCTCAAGATCCTAAGCCCCTTCTACGACCGATGTCTATTTTCAGAAAGTAACAATTTAGCAGTTTCTTCACGTTTCTAAGGCTCGAAAGACCACATTCTCAAAACTGAAAATTTTGCACAATCGTGGTTTTGGCATATATCAATAAACCTGGGCAATTTTGCAACGATTTTACAAGCAGAAATGATCGCTATAGAAATGGGAAAAAGCGCGTTGATCAATCTTCCTCTCACTAACAAAACTATAAATATATTTTGGGATGGCTTTAAGGCTCTGAGGAGCTGCAACCGACTTGATTCAGTTGGTTTGGAACTGTACTAAATACTCTCGAATGCCTTGGTGACTGGAACTAGGTTACTTTGATCCATGTCCTCTAACACCGCGGCTGAGCAAAGATCATGCAAAGATAAAGACGGATAATTCCTTAGCATTGCAAAGAACACTGCCAAATAAGTGTTCTCTAACTAGACAGAGAGGGTAACATTCATGTACAGGAGATATACCCCAAAGCTAACTCATTCGAAGGGTTCCACGAACGCCTCTGCTCAGACCTGTGAATGGAATATGCATTCTCAAATGACCGGACATTACCGTTTAGGTAACCACATGAGAAGGATTTCTGGAAAGCACATTCTATGCATCTGCTTTCCGCCTTAGAAAGAACTAGCTTCCAGATCTTTGGTTTCACCCAAGTGGAGCCTACCAACTTTAAACAAGACAAGTCCCACCTAACTCAACAATGGTCTTCATCAGAAGATATAGCTTGTATGATGTATTATAATTTAAACTTGAGCCACAATCGACTAATTAATCAACCTAATCCAACTTTGATTAAATATCTTTGCAGTTTTTAATTCCAAATATTTACACTGAAATTTAGAATTTCTTGAAATTGTTTCAAATACGACAAAACCAAATAAATAAATAAACTTATATTACTTTGTTTTCTAGCTGATTGGTACATACTTATATTATGTATAATAATAATAATAATGTTTATTTACCAGCAATATATACATTCAGATACAATAAAATAAAATTCAATAGGAGATAAAATGTAAATAAACAAGAAATGTGTCACTGAATCTGCTCACTGTACAAAGTACAATGACAGATTGTGTGTGACAAAAAATACGACAAAATAAAATAAAATAAATAAAACTTATAACAATACAATAGTAAAAATTTAAAAATATGAAGCAATTAAAATACAAATTATTAATATAAATAAAAGTTATTTAAGTACAATCTTTACACTTTGATAATAAGTCAAATTTATTTCCAATATACCTCGGCATAAGTATCTCATACAACGAACATAACTTCTACATAGAACATTTTTAAAATATTCAGATTCTTTAACGTTTATAATATACTTTCTAATTATTTAATTTCTATTTTTTTTTATTCGATTATATTACGGAAAAAAGTTCGCGGTGTTTTTGTTATAAATTCTTTTACACATCTTTTAAATTTTTTTACTGTTTTTATTTCTCGAAGCTCCGTTGGAATGTTATTAAAGATTTTTGGTCCCAAAAACCGATAGCTATTTTGTCCAATTGATTTATTCGTTCGTGGTAGCAAATAATTGTCTCTATTTCTTGTATCATATTGATGCAACGGTGTTTGCAGATCATCTTGATTTTGAAATTGATGGGTGAGTGCTGCTTGACAGAATAACTGTCGTAAGTCAAATATGTGGGTTTCTTGATACACATTTTCAGTAGGATATCTTCTATTTTTGTTTAGCATTATTTTTAAAAAACTTTTTTGAATGATCTCGATTGGCTTTAAGTGCGTTTTAGTGACTCCACCCATGAATATAATTAATGCTAATTTAATTTAACAAACAAAAAATCTGAAAATCTCTAGGCAACATCCTAAAAATAAAGACGACTCACGTTTTTAATTATACAACAAATTTCTTATTCCAGATTATTTCTGGTCTGTCTGTTTCTTGTTGGCTTTTAAATTCTGTTTCGTCATCGACGCTGCGCCATTGTTTATCTACAAAGCCTTGATTTTAGAGCGTATGGTCGGCAGCGAGTTCATGTTTTATGTTCTACTTCATAGGTATATTTACGTTCTATTTCATAATAACACACCTATTTAATTTTCAATTTGCAATCTATTGACAGAGTGCTGGATGACGTAAATTGGACCACACTAAAAAGCCTACACACATAACAGAATAAATCTTTCTTTGTTTCCTTTGTTGGATTTGACGATTGTCGGTCTTGTTAGTCATAATTGTGATTTTGATTTAGTTTAAATTAGGAATAATAATAAAAATCGGTTACTTATTCTTTCGTTCATTGTAAGCAGTTATTATAAAATGAATAATTATATATTTGCCAAGCAATGTTTTTTATTGCTACAAACTTTCTTATACAGGGTGTCGCTAAAACAGCTTAACATATTTTAATGAAAATGTACATGAGATGTTAGTGTACAGTGACCAATAAAATGGAGGTGGTGGCGTATGAAATTGTTTTATTTATATTGATAGAAGGGTTCCCGCCTCCTTCTTATCCTCTACTTTTTTTAGATAATAACATTCAGTTAAAAATATTAAAATATGTTAACCCGTTTTAGAACAAGAGCACAAAATCACTTCTAAAATTTATATTTTAACACTCTGTAACTTTTTTACTATGACTTTTTTATATAAGCAAGTTAGCTTAAAACGACTTATTTTCTAGCTCAGAAACTGTGGTAAAATTCAATGAAAATCTTTTTGTTATACCTCTACAATACGTAATAGCTGTATGTCTTAGCAATATTGGGACACCCTATATATATTTCTGCACCACATTAACGCAACAATATGAATTGTCCGATTTATTATTTTGTCCAGGGTACATTATCCATTCGCTTTTTATTTAATACCCAAAGAGCTGGCTTACTCATCTAACACTAACTACTAATAATTGCTAGTAAATAACTCGACCTTACCAATAAAAATCCTTTATATTTTTGTATTATCCAATACCATTAACTTTCATTGTAGAAGAAATAAACAATTTAAATAACCAACAGTCTGTGAATGGTAGTATCAATTCTTCAAGATGGTTTGAAATCGGACGGAAAGGAAGGAAACAGGCGGATGTTATGAATAAAAAGTCTTTGTTACGGTTAATTTTAATTACCTCTATATAATAAAAGATTGTAAAAAGTTCCCACACCTTTGAACTTGCTTGCTCACCGCTGTGAAGCACTTCATGTAAGTAAGGATATTTAATTATAGAAAAATAGGCGTTTATGTCTTCTTACTTAAATTGTTTCATTTGTTTTCATGATCTCATACATAATTAATTTTTACCAAGTACTAAGTTTTAGGGAAAATGTGTTTAGGTATAAGAAGTCTTATGGATTGCTCGACTGACAAAGTAGTTGTAAATGTCACAAAAAATTCTACCAATTAGTTGTTTAACGCATTTAAGAGAGAGAATCATAATGCAATTCTTTCCACCATAATTTGGATGAAAGTTCAAACATTTTAAATTAGCTTACACATCATATTTAGAGTATAGTAATGTCCAAGAGTGCCTGCGGCGCATGGGGGGGGGGGGCAGTATGCTAAGGGGCATAGGACCTTATTATTTATAAATTTTAAAATTTACTTTTAACTGTTATTTTCTATTTTCATTCTGTAATAAAATAATAAAAAGTACTTTAAAATAAATACAGAGGAATTGTTAAACGAATTCGCAAGCCAGGTGTAGAGATTTCCATTAAACATTGTTCATCATTTTCATCATTTATAGGCAAGTTTATGAGTCCGAGACTGCTGGGCTTCGAATCCCAGACCGAACCATGTGGATTTTTAATTAAATTGCATGGTTCGGTTTAGGATTTGATGTGTGCCGTATTAATAGAAATTCAATTTGTATTGATATGACATGCAGAGTATAAAATCGCCATACATTATCGTCTCGATGATGGTGGGTGAGGTTTTCCGGGTTTTCCTCACCTGTAAGTCAAATGGCACCATCAATTATCCTTAAGTCGCCCCGGAGCGCCACGGCAAATAATAATAATAGCCGTCCCTTCCCCTACACAAGTCGTTCAGTCGACTTCAGGTGTTGAAATTCACTCGTAAGGGGGTGAATTAGGGAGAGTATTATTATTATTATTATTATTATTATTATTATTATTATTATTATTATTATTATTATTATTATTATATTTTATTACTTTTATTTACTTTTTTTTTTAATAGTTAACGATTGTGTTGTTTTTTGGGGGTACTTGTAATAAAAACTACAGAATATACTTAACCGTAAGTATTAGTATTTTATAATGAGGACTGGTACAAAATTTCAAGTTATTGATTGGTGAGGGGTAGGCGTGGGGCGGGGGTTCCAAAATTGATTTGCAGGGGGATCCAAAAGTTATGCGTGTTAGAGCGTGTTTTTTTTTGGCTTTTTCGTTTTGTTTTGAACAATATTTAAGTTGCTAGCTATTTTTTATTTTTTGGAACGTTTCTTATTTTTTTACCAATGTCTCTCTTGCTGGAACATTTTTTTATTTGTCAATTTTTATTTATCTTATTTGATTTTTATCAATTGGTCTTACTTCTAAAATTGTATTGTGTAACTTTTAACTCTTTTCACTTTTTTTTGTCAGTTTTTTAACGTCGCTTTATCCGTATAGGTATTTAGTTTCTTATAGTTTTCAATTGTGCACTGTTTTGAACCATTTGTTATCCATATTCACGTTTTGTTAATTATGTCTTCTCC